AACCAGCCAATAAAACACCCCCGGAACACGTCGTCCACTCGTCTCTCCCTCTCTTTGCCCGCTCCGTAACTGCATTGTCGAAGTTTTTTTCTTTTTTTTTTCTCTACTCCTCGGCGACGTTTATTCTCGTTCTCTCTCCTCCTCCTACCTCCCTCCCCCACCTCCGTCCCCGTCGTTCTGTATTTCTGCTTTTTTTCTGGCTTCTCGAAGAGCGCGCACACCCCCTCGATTACATTCGGAAATATTAGGGGACGTCCCGTCGCTCGACAAACTATCAATTTATTTTCGGCTATTGATTGGCGTGCCCCGTGCGCGATACACTGACCCCCGAGATTTTTATCTCCTCGTATGCATCTCCTCAATGTTCGCATTCCGCGATACAGCCCGATCTTCGATGATCCGGCTTGATTGTGCTGGCCGCAGTGGAGAATCACGACTAACGGTCACATGTGTACCGCTATTTTTATAGTTCTCGTTCAAGCATAATAAATGCCAAGAGTATATAATTTAAAAAGTGAAGAAATAAAAAATATGTATTTGAAAATATTCTAGAAAAAAAAAAACATACGAGTTACAGAACAAAATTGTGAAAATCCAAAGATAAGTGATTTTATCAAACATGAGTCATAAAGTTAGAAATTGATTTATTTTCCCATTTGGACATGAAATGACTTATCTTTGATTTTTATAATTCTACTCTATAACTACTGGTATGTTTCTTTTTTCTAAAATTTTTTCAAAAAATCTTCAACTGATGAGGAACGCTGCAGCGCCGCGCACACGAGCGATACACACAGATTTACGTGCGCCGTAAAACGTGCTCCTCGCCGATGGCGGTAAGTAGGTAGAGTAAAAGTCGGTGGACTGTGTCCAAATCTATAGATTACGGCTGGTCATATAAATCATGGCCCGGGTTTGGTACCGGGTTGAATGTTATCTCCCGCTTCCTGTTCAGCGCACCGCCGACATTTCGCGCACACCGCCGCGAATATTCTATATGTGAGGACAGTTTCGTTTTGTACGGCGGCAGCAGCAGCAGCAGCAGCTACCCCGTAGCGATTGCCACAAAGCATATGCTGCCCGCTGTCCACTCCATTTACCTCGCTACGTCATCCGTCGTGATGCGGGACGGCGAGATAAGGGACGCGGGGCGGGGCGGGGGGGGGACGGGGACGGGA